ACTCAAGTTGATGGACTGAACACATCGACTAAAGGTTGAGGGACTGATTACCTCATTCTCCTTCTGTTCTTCAAGTTTCTCCTATGTATGGACTGATGAAGCCACTGTGTGGCGAAACGTTTCCTCAACAAAGATACCCAAGAGTTGCACATGTGTCTAATTTATCAACATGTCGGTTCTCTGAACCATTCATCTACAAACCTGTCAGACACTGCAACTTCTTGGGATCTTAATACTTAGGAATTCTTCGCTTGCCTAATTATTGGGCACAACCTACTTCCACATTGAACAAATGTGACACTACCTATGACTGCTGCACCTCTCCTGCCATACGGTTTATAAGCTGCTTCTCCGCTCATTTGCCGTATTCTACTCAAGATTGATGGACTGAACACATCAACTCAAGGTTGAGGGACTGATTACCTCATTCTCCTCCTGTTCTTCAAGTTTCTCCTATGTATGGACTGATGAAGCCACTGTGTGGCAAAACGTTTCCTCAACAAAGATACCCAAGAGTTGCACATGTGTCTAATTTATCAGTTTCTTAGCTGACTGTTTTGTAGTGGATCTGTGATGTTACAATGAGGACATCTGGGGTACTTGTAGCTGAAGACACAGGATTCTCAGATGAAAGTACTACTACTATGGCACATTATTCTTGGCTATCTTTTTAATTACAGTGGACTCCCGCTTAACGATCACCTCCCAATGCGACCAATTATGTAAGTGTATTTATGTAAGTGCGTTTGTACGTGTATGTTTGGGGGTCTGAAATGGACTAATCTACTTCACAATATTCCTTATGGGAACAAATCGGTCAGTACTGGCACCTGAACATACTTCTGGAATGAAAAAATATCGTTAACCGGGGGTCCACTGTATTTCATTCAAGTGAAGTTGTTTTATGTTCTTTGATCTTTCCCATAGTAATTTTTCATGCATCAAATAAAAATTCATTAGCTCTTGCTCTGTCACAGAGAAATGTTGCTCTAGCTCTTTAATTAATTCACCTGACAACTTCCTTAACATGTAATATTCCTATCTAGTGACAAATTACTTGTATAGCTAAGAATCATACAAAATCAAGGGGTCACCATCATCTGCAGTGTAAACAATACAAGTGAGCAAGCATTAAGTACAACACCATCTGTGGCTGTAAGGTAAACTATTTTGGAAAAAATGGTCTTCTAATTTTATCTGTACTAAAAGGTGCCAAATGATCCATTGCCAGCAAATCAGTGTTGTACTTGTACCTGAATGCATTCACTTTCTCCAATCTGATATCCAGTCTTTTATTGCCAAGACTATTTTTGTTTTTTCATCACCTTGCTTTTTTTCAGTTTTCACTTTTAATTTCCTTCTTTTACATACCTTCTCAAATTCTTTCACCAACCTTTGCAACCTCTTCAGAATCTTAAAAAAAAAAAAAATGATATCATTGGCAGAGAGCACTTGTGACAACTCCACTTTGTGTCAGTCATTATCTTTTAATCCAGCACTTCTCCCCAACACCCTAGTGTTCACTTCTTTTACATCTATATATACGCTAAATAATCATGGTGACTTCATGCATCCCTGTCTAACACCTACATTTACTGGGAAATAATCTCCTCTCTGACATATCCTATCCACACAAAAACTTTACTAAACTTTAAGTAACCTACTACTTAATTCCATACATTTGCATCACCTGCTACATTGCTTTTCTGTCTACCCTGCCACATTTTCTCAATCCATAAATGTAACAAACAGTTAATCACCTTAAAGCATTGTTTATCTGAGTCTTACCTGTAGTGATTACAAATAGGAAGTGCATCTACATCGTGCTCAGCAGACGGAAGATCAAGCCTTCACAACATCGAACGCTGAATAGCCCACATGGGTTTAGTGTTAACATTAATTATTATTAATATATTATTATATTAACCCTTTCAGGGTCCGTGCCGTAGATCTACGGCTTTACGTTCATGGTCCAAACTGTAGATCTACACCATGAGCTCAGCTCGCTCTGATAAGCTGTGAGCAGTAAATTTGGGCCTAGATATGAGAGAATACATCTATGTGGTATGTGTGCACCACAAATCCTGCAGCACACAGTGCATAATGCAAGAAAAAAACTGAGACCGTAATTTTTTATTAAAACAGCGACTTTGCAGTATTTTTTCGTATGTTTTTTATAGTTGTATTTGCAATTTTGTGGTCTCATTTGATAGAATGGAAGATATACTACAGAAATAGAGATGATTTTGCTTGGTTTTAATAATGGAAATGCTTGAAACTGAGCTCAAAGTAGCAGAAATGTTAAATTTTTGCCGATGTTCAAGAGTGAACAAATGACCTCACAAGTCTAATACATGACAGCTGGTGGGTCTAATATACATTCACAAATGTGGTGATATTACTTATACAATTATTACAGTATTGCATAACAGTAAATCTTCTACTTTTTGGTTTGAATAAAAATTCACTATGTGAATAAAAAATCAAAATGGAATTCATTTGTAAAGCCTGAAAACGTAACCAATGAACAGAGGAAATGTTAGTTTAGTGCCAGGAATGCCTGAATTGTTTATTCTGGACCCTATTTTGAAATTGAAATATTTTGAACTTTGCGTTAAATTGGCCAAATTACCAATTTCCAGTCACTTTATTTTGTTGTTGAAACAGTTGATTTGGTGATTTCTTGTGCTCAGTCGATAGAATAGAAGTAATACTAGTGAAATAGCTAAGAATTTGGTCGACTGGAATACTGTAATTGGCCTAAAATGGGAGTCAAATTTGGCGAAATCGCCGATGCATAAATATTGCCAACACATCAAAATTCGCGAGAGCATAATTTCATCAATTTTCCATCAAATTTTGTAGTTTTTGTTTTATTACCTTCAGAAAAAGATTCTCTACCATTTCATAAGAAAACATAACAAAATTATTTTTTGAAAATTCTTGGACCCTGGTGCACACTTTGAAATTTGGCCTCTGGACCCTGAAAGGGTTAATATTGACAGTCATATTCCCCAATAATTCGTACAAACGTATTATACATGGTCTCTGAAAATCCTTAAGTACCTTCCCTTCTTTTGTGCATATATTGAGTAATGATAGAGACAGATTAAAAGTAATTAACTGCTCAGAATGTTCCCTCCATCTTTCCAAAACCTCAGCCTCCCCATTTAACATCTCCCTTCTTTTGTTTTTACAGTAATTGCCAAATCCATTTTTTCCCCAGGCTTTCTTAATTTATTAATCTGCCTCCAGCTTTCTTTTCTCAGCATAATTTGCTAACAGAGCCTTACCATTCTTTTAGCCTCTTTTCCTTTTCATGTACTTTGCTTACTTTATATCACTTCTGCATATGCTAACTTTTTCTCTCTTACCGACCCTTTTACTTCATCGTAGCACCTATCATTCCTCTTTTACCCTTCGCCTATCCTCCTACACCCATAAACTTCAGCTGTGCACTCTTATTCTACATTCTTAAAAGAATAAAGAATAAAGATTTTATTTCTTTGCAAAGGTTACAATGTGTAATGACAATTTTGATTTGTTAAGCCACTATCATGCCGAGGCATTTCAGGCAGACTAATCCTAGTACATAGGCATTTTGGGCAGACTAATCCTAGTGCATAATAACTGCTAAAGCCTAGACAAATAAGATGGTTAACTTTTTAATAAATCTTTATTTTATCTTAAAACTAATGCGAGGTAGTCATGGTGGAGGTTTCTTTCTTTCTTTCAACACACCGGCTGTATCCCACCAAGGCAGGGTGGCCCAAAAGGAAAAATGAAAGTTTCTCCTTTTACATTTAGTAATATATACAGGAGAAGAGGTTACTAGCCCCTTGCTCCCGGCATTTTAGTCGCCTCTTACAACACGCATGGCTTACGGAGGAAGAATTGGAGGTTTATAAGAATAATTATCTTGTAGTTGCACATAATAAAAACATTACAGTTAATGCTTCAGACAGTAATATTTCATGGATTGGCAGATGTTTAAATAGACTAGAAGTCATACTATAATATACAGTAATATTTGGGAGAGTTACTTCAAACTGATTAGAAGTTGTTTTGGTTGGTTTGGTTATTATTTAGAGATGAGATGATTTTTAAGCATAGCCCTAAATTTGTATGTAGTCAGGGAATCCTTTACTGGTTCAGGTAGTGAATTCCAGATTTTCGGGCCCTTTGTGTTCATTGCACTTTTGTATAGTGCTTGACTGACATGAGGGATGTCAGAGTGCCTTGTACCTTGTATTGTGACTGTGCATTCTGTTGTAGCTATCAGGAAGTTTAAGTGGAGGGTTTATATTGGAGTCTATTGTTCTGTATATATATCGTAGGCACAATAAAATGAGTGTATGTCTTGTATATTTAGTGAGTTCAGGCTTTTGAAAAGTGGTGGGGTGTGCTTTCTGGCACAGGAGCTGGTAATCATCCACACAGCAGCTTTTTGTTGGGTTATTAAAGGTTTAAGGTCGTTGGTTGAGGCATAGGTGAGGTCCTTTTGAACCTTCTCATTATTTGTACTGTTCTCTGTCTAGCCCACCTTTATTCCAGTAGTTCCTTAACCCATTATTATTATTATTATTACAATCAAAACTAAGTGCTAAACCCACAAGGGTCATATAGTGCTGCAGGGCAAGATGTGTTAAAGATGTAATATTCCAGATCAGAGACCAGCAAGGGTGAAAACTTAACCCATATAAATCATACAACTTTTTATTTTTATGTGCAATCATCAATACTAAATTGAATTATGTGAACTGAAACTTTTCCAGAAAGGTGTAAGGGAATATTTTTTAATCAGTAAACCTGTAGGAGTTATACAGTGCCTGGGGAATGGGAGGTAATTGGTTATATCAGAGAGGGTAGCTCCAGTTCCTCTGATCAAGAGCCTTCACCAGCATCAAAGCGCTTTTTTTTTTTTTTAAGGGAAGTAGAAAGCTAGAATAGAAAAATAAGTGAAAGAACATGTATAATACTGCTTGATACATGTTTTACAGACTGGAGCACACTGGTAGCCAAGTGGTGCACTCACTGTCCTCCCACCCATCACAACCCTACCTCCTGACTGCTTCCCTTGGCCAGATGTGGCTGTGGTCTGCTCAGTCACAGGACAAAGAAAGTATTTAAACTTTTATCAACAGTTCAAATCTCTTATCAAGATTATTTTTTTAAGGTAAATGTTGTCTTTGCTTCCATTATGAATTTTAGTTTTAATGTATAAAATATAAAATAACAAGAATGGTCTTTTATTTATAGTTATAACAACATATTTCATTTATTTGATACTATATTCCATATACTGTAACACTCAAGATCATATGAAAGGTAAAAAAAAAATCCAAATATAGGGTAGCATCTTTAGTAAACAATCACAAAATTAAATTTTTAATAATTACATAAAGACAAAGCATACATTGTTCATGGCTGTGTCAGCTGGAGTTGTGAAAATATAATCTGCCACTTAAATATGAATTAACTGAAAGTTACAGATTTACTGATAAAATGACTAAGGGCTCCTTAGGGTGCCAATGTCTAGGCCCCCCCCCCCCCCAAATCTCTAGCTCTTTGTTTCTTAACTCTTAATGAGTCACACCCCTAAATGTAACATGTAACCATTTGCAGAAAAGCTAGTTGCAACCCGTGTACTCCAAGGTCTCTTAGTATCACGTTAATTAGAAGTCATGTGATTTGGCTATGTCAGTGCTGTAGCCATTTCTCATTTTTTCTTTTCCTGAGTATTAACTTCTTGAAATTCCTCTTTGTTTTCAACACTCGCATTAGATTGCTACTTGGATGGATTTGTTACCCATGCAAAAGAGGCATCACATACAGGGTTTTCACAATAAAAGTATCCTTACTTGCTCATGGGTCGCACATCACACACATGGGGTCATACAACCCATTTGCCAGCACATATCCACAGGTTACAAACTACACTGGCTTCCACTAACACTGCAGGGCAGCATTGTGGTGGTGTTGCTGGTGGCTAGTTTCTCATCATGCCAGCTCACATTTACAGCATTATTATAATCAAAACTAAGCATTAAACCCACAAGGGTCATACAATGACATGTTATAATAAACTCTCAGTTTAAGGGACCATGATGTAACAAACTTCTGAAATATAGGACAAAATCTGCTGGGTCACTTGATTTGGAATTGGAGTATACAGTCAGTCAGTTGATTACAGAATTGTATGTTTTGACAATCTCATTTCTATCCACCACATTTGCTATTACAGGCCACCTGTTTCCCACATTAGTAGATTCAAATGAAAGTTTACTCTATACCCATTGGAGGAGCAGACAAGGAGTGGTACAGGTAGTGGGGACTAGAATAGAGCACTCCACAGGTCTGCTTGAAATTGGAGGTGCCAGTTGCTGGTATATGGACTTTTTTAATATGCACACTGGAATGTCTGCCATTATTGCTGCATACACTGCTTTGTCTCCTATACAAGTGCCCACATGGACACCTGCTTCCGTCTCATTAAATACCGAGTTCAGATATGTCGGGAAAAGGAGGGTTCACTTGGCTCCCAAAGAGGCAGTAGTCTGGTTACACTGGCAAGAAGAGGCCTCAAGGATGCCCTGTTCTCCTGAGCTAGCTGTGGCACTAGCTACTTGTCACTTAGGGTATTTACATTTCAGACAGTGACTAGTAGGTAGTACTATTTTAGTTACAAACAGTTAGCACCACCTACCAGTCATTAATGCCACTTTGTCTGTAACTTTGTTATGCCCCATTTAATGCTGAACTGTATGCAAAAATCACACATTCAGCAAATATTGTTCTCCATACTCTTGAATCCATTTGATGGTCACAGGTTTCACTTAACAGGGGTCTATGTGTTGTTGTAGAGGCCAACTGGGCAGGTGCCAGTTGTGATGCAAATTATTGGGTTTGGATTGGCTAACAAAGGAACCCTGATTTATCAAAAAGAAATAATTACCACCCACGAGCTCTTGGTCCCAGATATTTAGAATATATGAGGTTAGACCATTGGTGCTTAAATCTAACAAATATTTACGACGCAATAATTCAGAGCACTGAACCCATGTGGGTAATTCAGTGCTACTTATTATTTACAACAAAAAAATTGCTACCCTACAAGTATTTTGTGATATAAGGTGCAATATACTTAGGAGACATTTACCTTGTTTTTAGTAAAAGTAGTCAATACTACAGTTTGAAAAGTCTCATTTTTTCATTTCACGTTAGAAAGCTAAAAAAAATTTGTACTTTTCGTTATTTAAACTATCTGAAAATGTCATTCAATAAACTTCTATTCACAGAAAATACAGTACAGTACATGAGGTATACAATAAGTGTCAAATATGCATGTGCCTATGTATGCCTTTAATAGACTATTTGTTGACAGTTTTGAGAAGTGTCAGGACAACTTCTGCATCCAAGGCAGTTAAATTTTTTTAATGATTGGTTTAGTAATCTACCATACTTAAATCCAGTAGAGAACACGTGGAGCCTTTGTAGCATTTGTGTGTCCACCATGGCCAAACTCTCGAGTGTCATTAAGAAGGTGTGGGAAGGTACTGACTCTTCTATCCTCCGTACTTTAGCCTTATTAGTGTCTAGATGTAAGGAGTGCTTCTAAAGGAAGGGCAGTCCTACAATAGGTGAGCAACCCATTCATATTTTATGTTTAGAGCAATAATTTATGGTATGATGAATTTATTATTATAATTCTAATTAAGCGCTGAACCCACAAGGGTCATGATAAGTTTATGCACATGCATTCACTGTATATGACACCCACTGTACATTATTTTAAGGAAAATCTTCAATTTCATTAAGGTACTTCCTCCAAAGCAAATTATTATTATAATAAAAAAAAAGCACTAAACCTTCCTACAAAGCAAAAAGTATGCATGTTGCTGTTATGGTAATGATTTATGTATGAATATACATGGGGTGTACCAAAGTATCAGTATCAGTTTGTATCAGGTAATTTTGATAGCATCATTATCTGCCTAAAATTGTCTTATCAGTTAAATTTATGGTATCAGCACTGGCCTAAAATCAAGAATAAGTATCTGCTCATTTTTATGCTATTGGTATCAGTAAGTAACAGCTAATTTTAATGGCATCAGTATTGGCAAAAATTTTAGTATTGCCCCATCCCTAAATGTACATTAGTCTAACTACCTATCTAGAATCAACTTTGGGGTTCACCTCCGTCACAGCCTGGTCCCAGATCAGGCAGAGAACAATTCTTTACAGATATGAATCTTATGTATATACAGATATGCATTAAGCACTGATTGTATTCCCATTGTATGTGAAAAGTTTGTTTTATGAACCTCACAAATGAGAATTATTTTAAATTCGCTCCATTTATAAACAAGTAGAATAGAGCACTTGATTTTTACTGCAAAGCAAGGCAGGCTTGAAAACATCAACTTTGAATTATTTGTCTTTATACTGATTGCGAACCTTCAGAAAATGTCTTTGCCTTCTTACATTACTTCCATCTTTGCTGTTTCAAAACACACGGGAAAAAAAAATATATACTGTATACACTGTATATATATATACAGTGGACCCTCGACCAACACTTTTTATCCGTTCCAGAGAGCATGTCCTTAGCCAAATTTATCGAGAGCCGATTTAATTTTCCCCATAAGAAATAATGGAAATCCAATTAATCCATTCCAGACACCCAAAAGTATGAAAAAAAAAAAATCCACATGAAATATACATTTTCCTACACAGAAAACAATGATACATACACAATAAATACTACATGAAGAATAAATGACACTTACCTTTATTGAACATGTAGTGATGAGATGGGAGGAGGGGAGATGATGGTGGTGTATTATTGTTTGGAAGGGGAATCCCCTTCCATAACGACTTTAAGTGCCAAGTCCTTTTCCGGGGTTACTTCCCTTTTTTTTAATGCCACTGGGCACAATTTGAGAGTCACTGGACCTCTGTCACACCAAAAATCCGTCCATAGAGCTCTGTACCTGGCATTCCTTTAAGATTTTCCTAAAATGGGCCACAACATTGTCATTGTAAAAGTCACCAGCATGGCTTGCAATAGCTGTGTCAGGGTGATGTTCTTCCATAAAGGTCTGCACTTCAGCCTACTTTGCACAAATGTCCTTAATCGTTGAAGGCAACTTCCTCCATTTCTCTCTCCTCCTCCTCTGAAGCAATTTCCTCAGTTGTGGTCCCTTGCTGTTGCAGATGCTCTTGCAGCTCATCAGTGGTTAGTTCTTTGTTGTCGTCCTCCACCAACTCTTCCACATCCTCCCCACTAACCTCCAACCCCATGGACTTCCACAATGACACAATAGATTCCACAACTGGCATAGTCTCCTGAGGGTTAGCCCCAAACCCTTCAAAATCCCTCTCTTGTACACACTGTGGCCACAATTTCTTCCAAGCAGAGTTCAAGGTCCTGTTAGTCACTCCCTCCCAAGCCTTACCTATAAGGTTTATGCAACTGAGGATACTAAAGTGATCTTTCCAAAAGTCTCTTAGGGTCAATTCAGTGTCTGAGGTCGCTTCAAAGCACTTTTGAAACACTGCTTTGGTGTACAGTTTTTTGAAATTTGAAATGACCTGCTGTTCCATTGGCTGGAGGAAAGGAGTGGTATTAGGAGGCAAGAACTTCACTTTTATGAAGCTCAACTCCCCACAGTTTGCTGTGGCAAGTCTGAAGGATGAGCAGGAGCATTGTCTAATACCAGGAGGCACTTGAGGTCCAATTTATTTTCCAGGAGGTAATTTTTCACAGTGGGGCCAAACACATGATAGAGCCAATCATAGAAAATGTCCCAAGTGACCCATGCCTTACTGTTTGCCTTCCACATCACACACAAATTATCCTTGATGACACTGTTTTTCTTGAACACTCTGGGAGTTTCAGAATGATACACAAGTAGAGGCTTCACTTTGCAAGCCCCACTAGCATTACTACAAAACATTTTACCTTCTTTCTGGGCTTGTGTCCGGCAGTGCTTTTTCCTCCTGTTAATGAGGCCTGTTTGGCATTTTTTTTTCCAAAACGGGCCCTGTTTCGTCACAATTAAACATTTTGTTGGGTTTTAATTTTCAGTCTACGTACCCCTTTAAATTTCCCTGCACAATTTTTCGCCGCTTTTTGGTCAAACTGGCAGTCTCCCCATCCCAAATCACACTGTATATGTATACTTCTTAAATTTCTAAAACCAACCTTGCTGGCCTTAAATCCTATCACCCCCACTATTGCAGCTTTTTTTTTTTAATTAAATCGTCACGCAACGCCTTGCTTTTAAAATTTTTTTGACTGAACCACTATCTCCTATAATTTTTTTCGTTTATCCCCCAAAAACAACACCCTCTCCCATCGAGTATTGCGATTTTGTTTAAAAATATTTGCACCTTTCACAAAAACAGCTTTCTTGATTGCCTTCTTTTGGCCCAAAGGCAGTAGGATGGTTGATTGGGGTTTTTTTTATAAAACCGGACGCTCGGGGGCACCACCCCCATTTTCGTACTTTGCAATTACTCTCTTTTATTCCATAGTAATTCTCCCCCTTTTTAACCACGGGGGTTGGGCACTAGAATTTTTTGGGGCCCATGGTGGCTTATTTAGCAATTTTTTTTTTCAAAAAACCCGGCTGTTCCCCCTTTTTTAGCAGTTAAAAGCATAAAAACCAGGGAAAAAAAAAAAAGTATCGCGGGTTAAAAGTGGAACCAACCCGCAGTGGTTGTAAACAATGGCCACAGCTATGGCAGAGCAACTGACGCGTCTCAGGTGGGTGGCAGGCAGACATTCGGGAAAATGTCCTTACCCTTTTTTTTTCCACTTTTGGGCGGCCCAAAGTTTTTTTTATATGGTGGTGCGTGGGGTGTGTGTGTGTGTGTGTGTGTGTGTATGTTGGTGTGTGTGTGTGTGTGTGTGTTGGTGTGGTGTGTGTAAAGGTTAAAAAATTGAAAGTGATGTAATAAGGCAAGGTGATGTGGGTACAAACATTTTAAAAAAAGAAAAATTGATACACTTGACAAGGGAGTATGGAAATGTAATTTGTTCAGAATTTTTGGAGTCGACTTGTCAGCAAATGGGGTTTTGAAGGGAAGGGGGAAACCCGAACTGATGAAAAAAAAAAAAAAGCGAGTGGTGTTTGAGGTATTTTGGAGACAAAAAAAGTTATCCATGGGGGCCAAGAAGGGGAAAGTACGAGAGTATATGGGACAATACTCTTTTTTGGGTGTAAAGCATGGGTTGTTTAAACTGAAGCGAGGAGAAGGCTGGAGGCAGTGGAATTTTGTTTTAAAGGGAAAGTGTGGTGTAAAAAAGAGAGAATTCCCCAGGTAAATTAGGTGGTGGGGTTATTAAAAGATTGTCAAAAGGGGTGAAGAGGGGGGGTGGTCATTTACTGAGAAGGAGCAAAGGGAAAAAAATTGGAGTGTATAAATCTATAGGGGAAAAGGGAAAGGGGGGTAAGGGGGCATCCCCAGAAAAAATTGGGGGGAGGGGGTAAAGGAGGGTTTTTTGGGTGAGGACTTGGACTTCCACAAGTATGTTAATGTTTTGATAGGAGTGATGGGAGGGAAATTTTTTTTGGGACCTGACGCCCGTTGCAGTGTGAGCAGGGGTATATTTTGTGAAGGGATTCAGGGGGAACCATTAGCTGGGCTCGTCCTGGAAATGGGGAAATAAAAGCCGCACTTTAAAGGAGGGGTTTAGGAACTGACAGTTTGGGGGACCTTTTAACTGTCGTATCGTCGCTTGCAAAAACAGTGATTATGTGGTGAGGTGAAAACGTTGAATATGATGAAATATTTTTTTTTTGGGATTTTCTTTTTTTTTTGGCACCCTGCCTTGGTGGAAAGACCCCATGTGATTAAAAAAAAAAAATTTTAGTTCTATTACGTGGACCCCCGGTTAACGATATTTTTTCACTCCAGAAGTATGTTCAGGTGCCAGTACTGAGCGAATTTGTTCCCATAAGAAATATTGTGAAGTAGATTAGTCCATTTCAGACCCCCAAACATACACGTACAAACGCACTTACATAAATACACTTACATATAAGTGTATTTTTGAGGGTCTGAAATGGACTAATCTAATTTACATTATTCCTGATGGGAATAAATTCATTCAGTAAAGGCACTCGAACAGCCTTCTGGACCGAAGAAAGTTTGATATTTGAGGTTCCACTGTATATATAATTTCCTGTTAAAATACTATACTTGCACTTATTCCCTCAAAACATTGTTTATTAATGGAGCAACTCAGTCTTTGCCATCACAACTGACTTTCTTATTCATAAATTAATCAGCAAAATAATGAAAAGCTTTAAAGTACTCTACTAATGAATTATAAATACTAATACTATAACCTCAAGATAATTAAAAATAATTTTAATATATTTTAAAAAACATTTATTCCACTAGCTGGGTTAATATTTAAATACTTACCCAGACTGATACTTGTGCAACAATATGTATAAGAACTACATTCATGTAGTTTTAGTGAAAGATCACCTGTCTATCTTGGGCTAGTAGCCTACAGCAGTGCTGCTTTCTTAAGTGTGACTTGGACTTGCCTAGCATGGGCCAATAGGCCTACTACAGTGCTCCTTTCTTATGTTCTTATTACACAGGAGCATCAAATATGGTAAGTTAGTTGTCATTTTTCAGACCAAAGTAAGTTTACTGTATTTGAAGTGCAAACAATTCACCATTATTTTGTCCTAAAACTTTATAATATCTAAGACAATGGTCTGTTTACCATTACTTTCAGAAAACTTTTGTTAGAGAAAAAAAATGTTTTTCACTTCACACCCACTAGCATTGCTGTGCAATAAATACTGTTTATTTTTCATATTCATGTTATTTGCTTGCCTCACTCATTCACTTATATCTAAGATTTCTAAAAGTAAAAATATTTGACATATAATTTTCTACAAAAGTATACATGAATTATGTTTTAAAATGTTCATACTGTACTCTACACAGCTACTAATGCAGCTACTGGCTCCTCTATTATGGCATTCTTCATAACGTATTTCAGAGAATCAGGTTTTGCTCTGCTCTCTGGTGGACTTTCTTCATATATAGAACCTAATCCACTGGAATCTTCAGATATAGTTCTGTCTCTGAATCTTTCACCAGGAAGAAGATTAACATATTCTTCTTCTGATTTTTGCTCTTTCAAATATTTTTTGGGGAGAGATTGAGCTGTGGTTTTCATAACATCATAGTTCATGTATGAACGCTCGTCTTGGTCCTGATTCACCTGAGAGCTTTTCATATTTTGAGCATCTTCACTGGTAAGATAATTATTTTCATCAACTTTAAGAAAGCTGTTCATGGCCATGTAGCTAGGGTTTGTTTGCACACATACTGAAGGACTGTAAAGACCACTGTCATGCTTTTCCATCTCAGATGCTCTACGGACCAGTTTGTGACGATGAGCAACAGAATTTCTAGAATCTTGACTGGGATATTTCTGAAATTTGGGGACATCACCAATACTGACAAATGCTGGGGAATTTTCTCGGCTCCCCTGACTATTTAATCTATTTGGTGTTGATGCAGAATCCATCTTCAGGTAGAGATCACCATCAGTTCCATTCTTAAAGCTTACAGGAACTATTTCACTATCCCGCTTTGTTATAGAAGTCACAGTATCTTCATCAAAGTTAAATACATTCTGATCATTTCTGGTGGGTGAAGACATTGACATGTAAGCACCAACTGAGCTTCCACTACCTTTCTCAGCCTCCTGCTGGAGAAAATTCGCTTGCGCGAATGTCTGACGTGGGGTATGAACATGTTGTCCATTGTAGATTTCATGCTCTGACAAGACAGATTCAAATGGGCTTGGACTGAAGGGCATTTCATATCCATCTTCGCCATGATTTGGGCTTACATCACGCACTTTTGAGGAATAATCTGGACTTTGCAACATGTTTAGGAAGCTGCTTTCTGTGTTATCCATTTGGTAAGGTTCATTCAGCTCCAGGTAGTACTGTAAGATATTTAAGTGTGTTAATTATGAAACTTAAATGTATAGGCTCTGACTATATCATACCAAATAGCAAATGAATGATGTGAATATAGTAGTTGCACAATTATATCTATATTTCTAGTTTAGGTATTGATATATTACAGATTTTTTTCTGAAGCCAATTATGCAAGTTAGTTTAACAATGGTTTTGATTAATATAATAATAAGAAATTGAATAGATTTCAAGTCTTCTATTTAAAATTTTATTTCAAAAATTAGACTTAAGAGTGCATTTTTTAAAATGCTTTGTGTAACCAAAATTTGAAAACAAATAAGGCATTAAAAGTATCATTGTAACAAAACTTCTGCAGGAAACCTAAATAAAGCTGAGAATTTTCTAGATAAACATACTGAAAGTAAAATGTATCTTATAATCTTGTTTATTTTTTGGAATACAGTATTTGATTCAGCAGTTTTTATGGATACAGTAGGGCCCCACTTATACGGCAGGTTAGGTTTCAGGCTACCTCTGGAAAACAGAATGCCATTTTTTCCACTTATAAATGCATACAAATGCCAGATAACAAGTTTACACTAACATATATTAAGCTAAAAGTAGAACTAGGCATTAAAAAACAATAAAAAGTAAAATACGTACATACACAGTACATTCATTACTTACCTTATTTTAGGAAAAGTAATGAATGTACTGTGTATGTATTTTACTTTTTATTGCTTTTTTAATGCCTAGTTCTACTTTTAGCTTAATATATGTTAGTGTAAACTAACATATATATGTTAGCTTAATATATGTTAGTGTAAACTAACATACATTAAGCTAAAAGTAGCCGGTAGGTGTAGGTAGCCAGGAACCCCACCTGGCTCCCACTTCTAATGTTATACAGTGGACCCCCGGTTAACGATTTTAATCCGTGCAAGAGGGATAATTGTTATGCGAAATAATCGTTATGCGAATGAATTTTCCCCATAAGAAATAATGGAAATAAAATTAATCCGTGCAAGACGCCCAAAAGTATGAAAAAAATTTTTTTTTACCACATGAAATGTTAATTTTAATACACACAAACTGAAAAAGGCATGCACAATTACATGACACTTACTTTTATTGAAGATCTGGTGATGATTGATGGGATGGGAGGAGGGGAGAGCATTATCTTCTTACTGTTTAGAAGGGGAATCCCCTTCCATTACGACTTGAGGTAGCAAGTCCTTTTCCGGGGTTACTTCCCTTCTTCTTTTAATGCCACTAGGACCAGCTTGAGAGTCACTGGACCTCTGTCGCACAACAAATCTGTCCATAGAGCTCTGTACCTCCCGTTCCTTTACGATTTGTCTAAAATGGGCCACAACATTGTCATTGAAATAGTCACCAGCACGGCTTGCAACAGCTGTGTCAGGGTGATTTTCATCTATAAAGGTTTGCAGTTCAACCCACTGTGCACACATTTCCTTAATCTTTGAAGTAGGCACAATGGATTCCACAACTGGCATAGGCTTCTCAGGGTTAGCCCCAAACCCTTCAAAATCTTTCTTAATTTCCATACTAATTCTCACCCTTTTTACCACAGGGTTGGCACTAGAAGCTTTCTTGGGGCCCATGGTCACTTATTTTCCAGAAACAGCACCGAAAACACTGTAATAATACGAAATATTCCGAGTGTATGCTTGGATGTTACCGCGGAGGCTGCTGGTAAACAATGGGACGGGCGGCACATGTGAGGGCACATTGGACGCGTCTCGGACGAAAATCGGTGAGCGGGTTTTTAATCGGTATGCGCGGCAAAAATTTTGCGATAAAAGTAAGCGGTATGCGGAAAAATCGCTATGTGATGCCATCGTTATGCGGGGGTCCACTGTATACGATATTTAAAGAGGCCCAGAGTGATATTGTTACCATCGACATACCTTGTTCACAGAGTTTATTCATTGCTAACAACTTAGATGCCATCATAAATGAAGGAAGAAGTGACGAGAAGTCATGCCAAGAATTGTAAACAAAGCCGAATGCATTAAGGGGAGTGACTGGGTCAAAGGCAGATTGATACACATTTTTTTTTGGTGCTGGACCAGAGAAAATGTAATTTTTTTCTTTTGTCTGGCCACATCTGTTTATATGTTATGTAATATGTTTCTTATATAATTTTGAAGAAAATATAGATGGATTAATGAAATTGTCTATATTAAGAGTGATTATTATTATTACATATTATTACTATGGTGTCAAGACTAGATGGTCACTCTTAGTGATTTTAATGTGTACCTGCACACCAGCAGTGTGTTAATATTTTATTTAGGTACAGGTACACATAAGGAGCTTTTATGAGGATAGTGAGGCTCAGGTTAGGGTGTGTAGAAGAGAGGGAGAATACTTCCCAGTAAAAGTAGGTCTTAGACAGGGATGTGTAATGTCACCATGGTTGTTTAATATATTTATAGATGGGGTTGTAAAAGAAGTAAATGCTAGGGTGTTTGGGAGAGGGGTGGGATTAAATTATGGGGAATCAAATTCAAAATGGGAATTGACACAGTTACTTTTTGCTGATGATACTGTGCTTATGGGAGATTCTAAAGAAAAATTGCAAAGGTTAGTGGATGAGTTTGAGAATGTGTGTAAAGGTAGAAAGTTGAAAGTGAACATAGAAAAGAGTAAGGTGATGAGGGTATCAAATGATTTAGATAAAGAAAAATTGGATACAAATTGGGGGGAGGAGTATGGAAGAATGAATGTTTTCAGATACTTGGGAGTTGACGTGTCGGCGGATGGATTTATGAAGGATGAGGTTAATCATAGAATTGATGAGGGAAAAAAGGTGAGTGGTGCGTTGAGGTATATGTGGAGTCAAAAAAACGTTATCTATGGAGGCAAAGAAGGGAATGTATGAATAAAGCATTAGTCAGAGGGCAGAAAGGTTTTGGTGGAGTTGGTAGTTAAAGAGAATGGACAAAGTTAGAATGACATGGAAAGCATATAAACATAGGGGGAAAGGAATGGGGTGGGTCAGTCCCGAAAGGGTTGGAAAGAGGGTAAGGAGGTTTGTGGGCTAGGGGTTTGGATTCAGAAGCGTGCATGACGGTTAGATAGGAGTAATGGAGGAATGATGCTGGGACCTGACATCTTTGAGTGTGAGCAGGAGGGATATTTAGTGAAGGGATTCAGGGAAACGGTTAGGATCATATAAGCGGTACTTGATCCGGGATAGGGAAGTACAATTCCTGCACTTAAAGGGGGTTTGGATATGCATGTTTGAGGATATGTTGTATCTTAGACGATATGCTTTAAGCTGTTGTATTCTGAGCACCTCTGCAAAAGCAGTGATAATGTGTGAGTGTGGTGAAAGTGTTGAATGATGATGAAAGTATTTTCTTTTTGGGGATTTTCTTTCTTTTTTGTGTCACCCTGCCTCGTGGGAGACGGCCGACTTGTTGAAAAAAAAAAAAAAATGTATATATAAAATATGCAGTAGCTTTAAAACACTTGAAATTTTGGAAAGTTTCCAGACATAACGGAGAGACATGCTCATGGAGAATGTAAACAAACCGGGTGGTGTGCAGTGACTATATTGAAAGTCAGATGGGAGGAGCCGTATAGCGAGTTTTGGTCATAATTTGAAATGTCCATATTAGTGGAACGCTGCAAGGCAAAAACGTCATAAAGCGGGGCCCTATTGTATTAGCTTTAAGGGCAATGTTATGAACCTGCATGTCAGACTTATCATAGTTCTATGCTCATACGTTAATTTTACTTATAAAAAATTACAATTTAATGGTTTTTATAGTTTCTAAATTAATCACATTTAAAATTAAGAGAAATGCTTAGGCAGTAGGGTGGTTGGACATATGCACTGTGTTGGAAATAGGATGGTTCTTCAATTTTGTGGGATAAGTAGGATAGTTCTTCAATTGTGTTGTGGGATAAGTAGGATAGTTCTTCAATTTTGTTGTGGGATAAGTAGGATAGTTCTTCAATTGTGTTGTGAATAAGCAAGATGGTACTTCTACCTTTATTGATTGATTCTTTATGTAGTTACACTTAAACTGCATCCTACTTGGTGGTGGTCAGCTTCACTGTCTTTATATATACATTGTTTTTACAACATATTTTCTTTTTTTTTTCTCATGCCTGTCATTTTTATTTCTGTCCTACTTTTTTTTTTTCATGTATGCTGGCTGGGGGCAATACTGTACCCATTATTTATTCATAAATCATATCTTCACTGTGAGTAAGTGGCAACTCTTCAAACCAGCATTTAAAATTCTAAAGTGTTTTATATGCACTAACACTTGAGGGTATTTTAAAAGTTTGGTGTTTCCAGAGAAATCCTGACATAAAAAAAAATGTCATTAGTTTTAAATTGGGGAAGTGCTAAACCAATAAGGGTCAGACAGCGCCTGGGCATCAAAGAAATGGATTGAGAAGTAATGCATCTAGTGAGTTGAAGTCATATGTTACAAAATTATTTTTTGGTATGCAGTAAACTTTAATTTTTATTCCACATAAAATTTACTTTCAAGACTTGCACCTTTAAAAAATTCCAGTTATCTTTTTAATACAGGTAGTTATGCTGTAATGTTTTTTACATACCTGTTTCTCTGCCTCACCCAAGATCTCTCCAAGACTCTGTTCCAGATTGGAAAAGGAAGGTCTCTCTAAAGGATCACTGTTCCAGCACTCCAGCATTATACGGTATCTAATATAAAATACAGAAATTAATAACCATTATTAAAAATTAATTGAAACAGTATATGTTTAAAAATTATTTATATACCAGGATTTACCCTACATTATAGTACTATGTACATGGTCCTCTATTAATTATATATTCATTTACGAGAATTACGTACGTACTTACATTATAGTACTACAGAATTATCAATTAATTATTCATATATGTACTCAAATTAGTTACATTATAATACTACATAATTATCAATAAGTAACCACAGGTACACACATTTATGCATTGTGCATTAATTTTAACAACAGGCCAAATGGCAGAAACATTCCACACTCACAAGCCATAGGTGGAATATTTCGGCTGCTCCAACCTAATGCCTTTTTCCAGCTTGACAATAAAATTCTCGTCAAAATCTATTCCAGGATATGGATTTTGTCCAAGGCTGAAAATTTCCCATAACACTACACCAAAAGACCAGACATCACTCTGAATGGAGAACACACCATCTCTTAAGCATTCCAATGCCAACCACTTCACCGGAACTGGGCCCTGTGGATGATATACAAAGTAGTGAATTTTTTTTAACACACTGGCTGTCTCCCACTAAGACAGGGTGACCCAAAAAAAAAAAAAAAAAAAGTTTTTCTTCTTTTTACATTCAGTAACTTATACAGGAGAAAGGTTACTAGCCCCTTGCTCCTGGCATTTTACTCACCTTTTACAACACAATGACTTACAGAGGAAGGATTTTTCTCTACTTATCCATGGAGTAGTAGAGAATTATGGTTATTAAAAGTGACAATACAATAGCTACCAAAAACAACAGTACAATAGTATTTGAAGTGCAATTTAGCAACATAATGACTAATGAGCATTGTGGTAAGTTGAGTAAAATTTAGTCTTTAAATTAAAAAAAATAAGTATTAAGAGCATAAAAAACAATATTGTACTTTATTCCATCATGATCTGTGACTATTTTTGTACACAGATTCTGACAGTCAGCAAGTATAACTGGTATGGTATGATGGTGTTATTTGCGAGCTAGGCTCCCAGAACTGCAAATTTGTGAATCATCATTTTCTGTGAGTGACTACCTTCTTCAAGGGAGGTAGTTTTTATGCCAGTGAGTTTTTTTTTTTTTTTTTTATTCAAGGAAATAAATGTATCTTTTCCATTTCTGGATGGAACCTGACTGCCTCCAGTTTTGTGTGTGCTGTATGACCCCTATGGGTGTAGCATATTATTAATATTATTATAAAAATAAGAAAGTGATCAATTCTCAATACACAAGTAGTTTTAACATAACGTAAGAAAGAAGGAACACTGCAGCAGGCCTACTGACCCATGCGAAGCAGGTTCCCCCCTCCCCAATTAGCCCAATGACCCACCTAGTCAGGTCACTTCCACTTAGGGAAGGAGCACAGCATCAAACCTAGTAGCACAAGCTAGTCAGGCCCAACTCACACCCACCCACATCCACTCATGTATTTATCTAACCTATTTTTAAAACTACACAATGTTTTAGCCTATATAACTGTACTTGGGAGTTTGTTCCACTCATCAACAACTCTATTACCAAACCAGTGCTTTCCTATATTCTTCCTGAATCTGAATTTTTCCAACTTGAAACCATCTCTTGATGGACCCCTCTCATCTGACTAAGTGAGCATAAAGGACGATCCCAAATTATTGCCAGTTGTGTAGGCCCTGTGCCCCTCCCCTGAAATATCTGGGTGCCTGGTTTACGTTTCCTAAACATCGAAGTGTATCTACCCCCTAAATGTAGGTGTTACAAATGCTAGCACTATAGCCATGTTGTAGTAGCCTGTGAAATACTACATTCTTGGTGTGATAAGTGTGCTGGGAAACATTCCACTAGAGAATGCACAGCAGGCCTTGACAGCCAAAAATTTAAGTGTATTAACTGTAAAGAAGTTGGGGTTACAGTTTCCCATAAGGACTGCAGTTGGAACCCAAACAACCTTCGATGTAAACCTGATAACAGTCCTTTAACCCTTTGAGGGTTTCGGACGTACTAGTACGGCTTACGACCTAGGGTTTTTGACGTACTAGTACACCTAAATTCTAGCACCCTCAAATCTAGTGGGAGAAAGCTGGTAGGCCTCCATATGAAAGAATTGGTCTATGTGGTCAGTGTGCATGGTATAAAAAAAATCCTGCAGCACACAGTGCATAATGAGAAAAAAAAAACTGACCGTTGTTTTGGAATAAAACAGCGACTTTGCACTGTATTTTCGTATGGTATTTATTGTTGTATTCTAGTTTTCTTGGTCTCATTTTATAGAATGGAAGGCATATCATAGAAATTGAGATGATTTTGACTGGTTTTACAATGAAAAGTACCTTGTAATTGAGCTCAAAGTAGCAGAAATGTTCGATTTTTACCAAAGTTCAAAAGTAAACAAATCATGCCAAGCGTCCAATACACGTCAACTAGTGAGTCTAATATTCTTTTGCAAGTGCGCCAATATGATTCATACCATTTTTTACACTAATGCAGTAGTCTGCATAACAGTAAATCTTTTATTTTTTGTGAGAATAAAAATTCAAAGTGGAAAGCAAAAGAATGTAAGAGGGGCCTTGAGACGTGACTAATGAACAGAGGAAATGTCATTTTAGTGCCAGGAATATATTTCTTGTTTGTTCTGGACCCTATTCGGAAATTGGCATCTTTTGAAATTTGTGTGAAATTAGCAAAATTGCTAAATTCTGACCACTGTACTGGATAGTTGAAATTGGTAAATGGGTGGTTTCTTGCACTCATTCAATAGAAAAAATGGAGTTCTAGCGAAATATTCATGTTTTTTGTCGACTAGTACAGTGGAACTGGCCGAAAATGGGGCTCAAAATGGGCAAAATCGCCGATCCGTAAACATCGCCGAGACCGCTAACTTCGTGAGAGCATAATTCTGTAAGTTTTCCATCAAATTTCATATTTTTGGTGTCATTACGATCGGAAAAAGATTCTCTATCTTTTCATAAGAAAAAATGATTTTTTTTTTTTTAAATTTGGCCGACCCTGAGAACAAGTCTCGGAGAGGGCCTGTCGACCCTCAAAGGGTTAATGGTAACTGAGGATGAAGTCATCCAGTCTATCACAGCCAGATCTGAGACTGAACCTCTGCAAAGTGTGGAAGAGCCCAACCTCCCTGCGAAGGATACTGGTGATACCAGAATGCCATCACCCACACCAGTTGTGGAGGAGCTAGCCATCCCTGCTAGCATAGGTGGAACTACTGATCTGCCACTACCTATACATATGCCTACACCTGAATATGGGGATGAGCATGTCATTTTTCCCACTACACACATCTACAACAGTCAGAGGAACACCACACTTGTAACCCTTCCCTGGAAGCTGGAGATGAGTCAGATGTACAGGACCTACCTACAATGAATAATGAGGCAGTCTTGCCACAGGCACCATCAGAGAACACTAATGTAACCATGGTACCTGTTAAGGTGATAGGTGTTACAGAAAGAACTACCTCAGAAGTGCCATCCACTGGAGAGGCATTGGATTTGCCTGACCTTCCTTAAATTATAACAAACATCTAGGAAAAAATTGAGTAACTTGAATAGATGCTGATGAGTTTAATAAATATATATAGTCAGGATAATGCTCTTGAGTATGTTGATCATGTAAAAAGTGCAGCAATCTCTGTTCAGTTTCAAGCAATTTGTAAGAAAGAAGCCTATGACTCATGGCTTCTAGACTTGCCTTGAAGATAAAGACGTACAAACTATGCTATTTGTTCTTAAGTGTCTGCACGCTGTAGGCAAAGCATAATAGTCTTACCATCTTATGAGCAAGAGATTGTAATAACTCACTACAATGAATACATTACAAATCTTTCCATGGAACATTGCTTCCATCAGGAAGCGGTTGCCTGACTACATCATATTAGTGAAACCAAGAATATTGCTGTCATCTGTTTGCAGGAATGTAGACTGAAAGATGGAGCACCTCCACCAAAGTTGCCTGGATATGCAGCTTATAACTTAAGGTCAACCAACTGTTGTGTGATGTATGTCAGAAAGAACTTGCCACGTTCACTCCTTGCCCTGCAGAGTCGAGTAAACATGCAGTATCATGGTATGAAAGTATATGCAGGCGATTTTTCCCTAAACATTTTTAATCTCTATGCCTCAGCGAACCAGCTTCGACTTTATGCTTTACCAGATATCATCAATAGTGAACCTACCCTCATTCTTGGAGACTTTAATGCCAGACATGCTGTATAGCCCTTGTGGCTTAGCGCTTCTTTTTTTTTTTTCAACAAGTCAGCCGTCTCCCACAGAGCAGGGTGACCCAAAAAAGAAAGAAAATCCCCAAAAAGAAAATACTTTCATCATCATTCAACACTTTCACCACACTCACACATTATCACTGTTTTTGCAAAGGTGCTCAGGATACAACAGTTTAGAAGCATATACGTATAAAGATACACAACATATCCCTCCAAACTGCCAATATCCCAAACCCCTCCTTTAAAGTGCAGGCATTGTACTTCCCATTTCCACGACTCAAGTCCGACTATATGAAAATAACCAGTTTCTCTGAATCCCTTCACTAAATATTACCCTGCTCACACTCCAACAGATCGTCAGGTCCCAAGTACCATTTGTCTCCATTCACTCCTATCTAACACGCTCACACACGCTTGCTGGAAGTCCAAGCCCCTCCCCCACAAAACCTCCTTTACCCCCTCTCTCCAACCCTTTCGAGGACGACCCCTACCCTGCCTTCCTTCCCCTATAGATTTATATGCTTTCCATGTCATTCTACTTTGATCCATTCTCTCTAAATGACCAAACCACCTCAACAACCCCTCTTCTGCCCTCTGACTAATACTTTTATTAACTCCACACCTTTTCCTAATTTCCACACTCCAAATTTTCTGCATAATATTTATATCACACATTGCCCTTAGACAGGACATCTCCACTGCCTCCAACCGTCTCCTCGCTGCTGCATTTACCACCCAAGCTTCACACCCATATAAGAGTGTTGGTACTACTATACTTTCATACATTCCCTTCTTTGCCTCCATAGATAACGTTTTCTGACTCCACATATACCTCAACACACCACTCACCTTTTTTCCCTCATCAATTCTATGATTAACCTCATCCTTCATAAATCCATCCGCCGACACGTCAACTCTCAAGTATCTGAAAACATTCACTTCTTCCATACTCCTCCTCCCCAATTTGATATCCAATTTTTCTTTATCTAAATCATTTGATATCCTCATCACCTTACTCTTTTTTTATGTTCACTTTCAACTTTCTACCTTTACACACACTCCCAAACTCATCCACTAACCTTTGCAATTTTTCCTTAGAATCTCCCACGAGCACAGCATCATCAGCAAAAAGCAACTGTGTCAATTCCCATTTTGTATTTGATTCCCCATAATTTAATCCCACCCCTCTCCTGAACACCCTAGCATTTACTTCTTTTACAACCCCATCTATAAATATAGATATGTAGATATAAATCCATATGTACTCCTGTTAACCCTTTGGGGCCTTGTTCCTAGGCCTTGTGTATCCATATGATCTTGCACTACTGTCCACAGGATGGATATGGGGTGCACAATAAACTAGCCACTTTGGTGGCAAAATCTAATCTAAACCATTGCTGCGAGTCCTGTTTTGGCCGGAAATTTTCAGCATGCTATTTACATCCCCTTTATTTATTCCTGTTTTCCATTTATACACCTTGATTATATCCCCCCTAATTCTACGCCTTTCAAGAGAGGGCAGATTCAGGGCCCTCAGTCTATCCTCATAGGGAAGATTTCTGATACATGGGATCAACTTTGTCATCCTCCTCTGTACGTTTTCCAATGCATTTATATCCATTCTGTAATACGGTGACCCGAACTGTGCAGCATAATCTATATGAGGCCTAACCAAGGATATGCAGAGTTGAAGAACAACCTGAGGTCTTCTATTATTTATACTTCCACACAGTTTTCTTATCTGCTACCTGTCAACTGGTTTTACTGTGTATCTATTAGATTACCAATGTGTACTACAATTGACCAAAACTTGTGTAAACAGTGTGACTAGTATTGTGGGGACGTGGATTCTATCCTTATGTTTCCATGTCATCAAGATACATACATCACTTTTCTTCTTGTAGTTCTCATTTTTGTATATGTCTTTTGCAAGTCCAAAGTCACTGATCTTGACAATATTTTCTTCAGCCAAAAGAACATTGCGGGCTGCCAAGTCTCCATGAAGCACCTGGTTAGAAAACACAAGTATTAAAACAGGTCAAGTAAGAGGGAACAGTAAATAGCATTCTAAATAAGAGAAACTATGTATTGCACTGGAGGATGTGGTCTCTTGAATTCAAGAGTCCACATTCTCCTTGATGCTACTGAGGGGCTCTTGATCCAAACCAGTAATAGCTCAACAAAAAGCAGCTGTAAGAATGATTACCCAGTCTAGTGCCAGACAACACACTCTCCTACTCTTCAAAAGCTTGAATGTATTCAATATACATAATATTCACTCATTCTACTGTGCATACAATAAATTCTAATATAAACCTTGCTCTGAAACTTTTTGTTAATAGCTGCAACAAAACTCATAGGCATAATAAAAGAAAAATTTCTTTGATATCTCCCATGTCTGGCTCAACCTGTGTAAAAAATCAATGCTTATAAATGGCTCTAAAGTCAAACTCTCTGCTTAAAGATTCCAAAGGTTTCCTATCAGCCAATCACTTCATGACTATTGCTAAAAAGCACCTCCTTACCTTAATATGATGCTGACACAATATACAATGTCACACACATCCTGAAACCTGTTTTCACACAACTCAATCCCTGTTTTTGTTCCATCTCTCCTTCATCTCCCATATATATTACCAGGAATATACTATCTCATCATAATTTGCAATAGTTCAAGTAACTCATGGCCCCAAAAATGTCGAAATCCCACTCTGCCAACTTCTTTACTAATATTGTTAAATAAGCACTTATTGCATCTCATAAAAACTGTAATTTCCATTAACTATAACTCTGGTTTCCCTTCAAAACTAATCTATTACTATAAATTAACACTGAGTTTTCACCACTACTATTCACTCCAAAAAAAAAAAAAAAAAATCACTGAACCAATTTATATATGTAATTCTTATGTAATTGACCATTTATTGTTTGCAACCTTTCTTATTGTGCTTATGATTGAAGTTAACTGAACAAGAAATTCTACATAATATGCCATGTCTAGTTTTTATGGAGCATTTTTTTTTTTTAACACATTGGCCGTTTACCACCAAGGTAGGGTGGCCCAAAAAAGAAAAACTTTCACAATCACTCCATCACTGTCTTGCCAAAGGCGTGCTTACACAACAGTTATAAAACTGCATCATTAACACCCCTCCTTCAGAGTGCAAGCACTGTACTTCCCATCTCCAGGACAAGTCCAGCCTGCTGGTTTCCCTGAATCCCTTCATAAATATTGCCTTGCTTGCACTCCAACAGCACATCAAGTCCTATAAACCATTTGTCTCCATTCGCTCCCATCTAACATGCTCACGCATGCTTGCTGGAAGTCCACCCCCTCGCACACAAAACCTCCTTGACCCCCTCCCTCCAACCTTTCCTAAGCCAACTTCTACCCAGCCTTCCCTCCATTACAGATTTATAGACTTTTGACGTCATTCTATTTTGTTCCATTCTCTCTACATGTCAGAACCACCTGAACAACCCCTGGAGTTTACCTGGAGAGAGTTCCGGGGGTCAACGCCCCCGTGGCCTGGTCTGTGACCAGGCCTCCTGGTGGATCAGAGCCTGATCAACTAGGCTGTTACTGCTGGCTGCACTCAAACCAACATACGAGCCACAAACCGGCTGGTCAGGAACCGACTTCAGGTGCTTGTCCAGTGCCAGCTTGAAGACTGCCAGGGGTCTGTTGGTAATCCGCCTTATGTATGCTGGGAGGCAGTTGAACAGTCTCGGGCCCCTGACACTTATTGTATGGTCTCTTAACGTGCTAGTGACACCCCTGCTTTTCATTGGGGGATGTTGCATCGTCTGCCAAGTCTTTTGCTTTCGTAGTGAGTGAGTTTCGTGTGCAAGCTCGGTACTAGTCCCTCTAGGATTTTCCAGGTGTATATAATCATGTATCTCTCCCGCCTGCGTTCCAGGAAATACAGATTCAGGAACCTCAAGCTCTCTCAGTAATTGAGGTGTTTTATCTCCGTTATGCGTACCGTGAAGGTTCTCTGTACATTTTCTAGGTCAGCAATTTCACCTGCCTTGAAAGGTGCTGTTAGTGTGCAGCAATATTCCAGCCTAGATAAAACAAGTGACCTAAAGAGTGTCATCATTCAATTCAATTCAATTCAAAGTTTATTCTCTATAAAGATTACAATGTTGAATTTACAGAATTTGGTTGTTGTGTGGTTTACATGTAATTAAATAATGATTACAGAGTGTACCACTAGAACGCCTAGCATGGCTAGGCATTTCGGGCAGACTTAGTTTAATTCTTTATTTTAAAATATTACAAATTATGAGGTAAGTTGGTATTATGGCTAAGTGACTAAATACTAGTTTGTGAGTTTAGCAATGTGAATGCTTTTGTTTTGGCACAGTACATAGTTTCAGTATTGGAGTATCATAGGATTCATTATTTTAAGATTGAGATTAATATTTCTGTTTATGGTCAAATGGGTGAGTGAGTGTAAGTGTGAACCACCAGGTGGTATTCGTGTAGTTAGTTGATGGGGTTTATCAGGGAGATAAGATGTTTTCTAATGGTAGTTTTGAAAGTGATGAATGTGTCTGCAGTTCTAGAGTTCTCAGGTAGGGTGTTCCAGATTTTAGGGCCTTTGACATACATTGAATTTTTGTAAAGGTTTAGTCGGACATGGGGAATGTCGTAGAGATGTTTGTGTCTGGTGTTATGCCTGTGGGTTCTGTCACAACTATCAAGAAAGCATTTTAGGTCAAGGTTAATATTGGAGTTTAAGGTCCTGTAGATGTAGATTGCACAGTAGTAAGTGTGGATGTACTGAACAGGGAGTAAGTTTAGATCTATGAAGAGTGGGGGGGTGTGTTGCCAGGGATGGGATTTAATGATTATTCTTACTGCAGCTTTTTGTTGGGTTATTATTGGCTTTAGGTGTGTTGCTGCAGTTGATCCCCAAGCACAAATAGCATAGGTGAGGTATGGATAAATAAGTGAGTGGTATAGTGTGAGAAGGGCATTTTGTGGCACGTAGTATCATATCTTGGAGAGGATCCCAACTGTTTTGGATACTTTTTGGTTATGTGTTGGATATGGGTGCTGAAATTCAGGTTGTTGTCAAGGTATAGGCCTAGGAATTTGCCCTCATTATGTCTGGTAATTAGAGTGTTGTTAATCTTAATGTTAATTTGTGCATCTCCTGCTCTGCTACCAAACATAATATAGTAGGTTTTGTCAGTGTTAAGCGTAAGTTTATTGGCTGTCATCCAAGTCGATATTTTGATCAGCTCCTCGTTAACAATGGTGTTGAGGGTGGCAAGATTAGGGTGAGAGATGACATAAGTCGTGTCGTCAGCAAAGAGAATGGGTTTCAGGTGTTGGGATACGTTTGGAAGGTCATTGATGTATATGAGGAAGAGCAAGGGACCAAGGACACTTCCCTGCGGAACTCCAGTATCAAGTGGCCGTGTTGTTGATGTTGTGTCTTTAATGGTAACATACTGATACCTATTACTACGGTAAGATTTGAAATAAGCAAGCGCATGGCCTCTTATACCGTAATGGTCAAGTTTGTGGGGTAGGATGTCGTGGTCTACTGTGTCAAAAGCTTTTCTTGGGTCAATAAAAATTCCTAGTGGATATTCCTTATTTTCCAATGCTGTGTAAAGCAGATCTAGCATTTTTATGATTGCATCATTAGTGCTTTTATTTTCCTAAATCCAAATTGGCAGGGGTTGAGTATGTTTTGTGCTGTTATAAATGAATATAGTCTCCTGTGCACGAGTTTCTCAAAGATTTTGGATAGCAATGGTAAGTTTGATATTGGCCTATAGTTGTTTAAGTCTGTAGGGTCACCACCTTTATGTATTGGTGTAACCCTTGCCATCTTGAGTAGTTTCGGGAAGGTGCTATTTTCTAGTGACTTGTTAAAAAGTAATGAAATAGCATGCGAAAGGATATGGGCCACTCGCTTGTACAGTAATGGTGGGACATTAGACAGATTCCCTGAGTTGTTTTTAAGTGACTTTATAATCTCGGTGACTTCCGAGGGCTCAGTTGGTGCAAGATAGAAGGAATTTGGGAAATTCCCATCCAGGTAGTCCCCGGCATGGGCATTAGTATGTGGGATTTTATTGGCGAGATTAGATCCTATGGTTGAGAAGAAGTCGTTTATCTTGTTAGCTGTGTCAGTGGGATGTAGTGGTGTTTCATTAGGTTTAGTTAGGACAATATTCTTGGTTTTTTCAGTTTGTGGGTCCCTAGAATCTGAGAGTGTGTTTTCCAGGTCTTTTTTATATCTCCTCCAGTGTCTGTGAATCTACTGGAGTAGTATAGTTGTTTGGCTTTCTTTATTACTTTGGTGAGAACTGATGAATAGTGTTTAAGAATATCTTTGTGTATTAAGCCCTGTCTATATTGCTTTTCATATTGGTGTTTCTTGTCAATGGATTTCAGAATGGTGCTGGTTAGCCATGGGCAACCAAGTCGTTTGTTTGTGATCTGTTTCGTTTTTATAGGACAATGTTTGTTGTATAGTCTAAGTAATTTGTTAAGAAAAATATCTGTCCAGTCATCAATACCATTGGCCTTGGAGAATTCTGTAGGCCAGTCAACAATCTCTAGGTCTGTTGTGAACTTCCTTATTGAGGCCTCGTCATGGAGTCTAAATGAGACTTTGTTGTATTCAAGTGGTGGTTTATTAATGTTTGTCAGGAGGAAGGTAGGGTAGTGGTCTGTAGTGCTATCTGTGATTATCCCTGATTTAAGGGGGGCTAGTATATTGGTCCATATGTGGTCTATTATGGTTGCACTTGTCTCGGTGAGCCTGGTTGGTTTAGTTATTGTTTTGAAGGTTCTCATTATCCATCCTGTCATTTTTCTAGCAGATGCGATTGATACAATGTTATGGTCCTTGAAGGTGAGATCCTCCGACATGATCACTCCCAGGTCTTTGACGTTGGTGTTTCGCTCTATTTTGTGGCCAGAATTTGTTTTGTACTCTGATGAAGATTTAATTTCCTCATGTTTACCATATCTGAGTA